AAAAAACATTATTTTACATATCACCTTTATGTGATATCACCTTAAGGACAGCACAAACAAGGGTTAATTGCACAATGGACCGCGCAAAGAAATTTAAAATAGTCTTCTTTAGGTGTGAGGGTAGGAGTGGATCGCTGCAGGCATAATCGGCAAATTAGGAAAACAAAGAACAGGACAGGCGAGACGTTTATCCAGAGAGTGAGCAGAAAAAGGAACAGCTGTTACATCCAGGTTTTACGCTCTCTCTCTGCTGAATGAATGAAAGCATTTTATTAAAAATGTGTTTGCGTTTGTCTGGGTATTTACTTTGTAATCTGTGGTTTACATCTACTGTAGTACTTTGAGATGCCACTTTTAAAGGTGATATGTAAAATAAAGTTTTTTATTATTGTTATAGAGAAACATGATCAGATTTTCCCTGGTTCAGAAAAAAGACGATTAAAATCTGTAATCTTTCCACTTGTATATCATCAGAAAATACAAGAAGTTTCTGCTTTGTGTAAGGATGGTATCAAAAAGTAATCTAAGTGGTGAGAAAGCTGTGCTCCTCAAAGCGCTTTACAGGATAAAAACAATAACAACAATAGTGGCTGGGCAAACTATTTTTTTATAGAAATACAAAATGAGATATAATGATGTGCATGAACAAAGTTGTACTGCTTTTTTCCTTAGATATGCGATTAGAAAAAATATTTTTTTTGAATCCCCAGCGGAACACATTCCATAAGAATCAGTGCTTTTATATATCGCCTTTAAACACAAATATTTAAACACGCGTTTATGATTTAAATCAAAACACGATTCAAATCAATATAAATGTTTATTTTGTAACGCATAGGTGACTATTCATTGTTATTAAAAAGACTTAAATTCGATCATGTTGTGATATATTCAGAAATATAAATTTGTTTGGTGCGAGTGAGGTTTTATTTAATCTCTGACCAAGGGAAAAAAAAAAGTCATAGTTCCAGGGAGATTCGATCACAGACTGTGTGACATGCGAGTCAGGAACCTAACCCACAGCGCCACCGGCAAGGTCACATGTAGAGTGCTGAAAAAGCACTACAGAAACATTATCGACAGACAATGTACAGTGTGTACTATTCTTGTGTTGCGGTACATGAATATAATTATATCGCTATTAATTTCTTTAGATACGCGATTCCATATTATATTCCCTTTTAATCAAATTCTAAAAGTATGTTTGTTGACTCTGGTATCTCTTTAGTTAAAGACTTCGATGCTTAAAATGTTTAAGGAGAAATGGAATACTGGTGTGTATTTCTTCTTTAAAGTACCAAGACCAGCCATGTACTGTATGTTTATGTTCCAAAATTAATATTGTTTATGGCCTTCACACGCATTACGGTATGCTCCTATTCTTTTCATGCTCAGCTACTAAGATTGCCCTTCAGTGGTAAAATTCCATATGAATATTCAATACAACAACGGGCACAGTAAAGACGTTTACTGTAAATCTTTCTACGACAGACCAACGGACCACGAGTGCCCCTGTCAGTCAACCAATCACGTACCGCGGTACCGTGCGTCATCTTGCGTCACAATGCGCGACGCCGTAGCCAATTACCTCCGGTACGTGTCTGTACCGCGCACTTTGAATGGCTGCATCTGTAGTTCCCCTCCTGTATGTGAAGTGATTTAGAATCCTTTGTTATGCAAAGTGATATACCAATGCATCATACAACTCAAATTGCATTATACCAAGAGCATTGATATCTAAGTGTTTCAGCTACAATTTTTAGAAAAGCATTTTATCAGATCATGTGATCAGTTTTCTATACAGAAGCTATGGATTTAAGATGCGAATATGCAGTAATAAGTAATAAGTCAGGATTATTGTAATTTAGAAGTATTAACAAACTACACTTATGTTCAGCAAGATAAACCTTGGCCCATTACCTTTCCACGCAGTCCGAAAGCCGAGAGCAGTGATTTGAAGCAGGAGCATCGTGACCTCCAACTGCATACAAGAAACCATTGTAAGTTGCTACGCCGACCCCTCCTCTTCGCTTAGTCATGGGTGCACACATGCTCCACTTGTTGGTGTGAGGGTCAAAACATTCCATTGACCTCAAACAAGAACTGCCATCACGCCCCCCAACAGCAAATAGCCTGAAAGAATTAGATGAAAACAAGAAAACAAGAGGGTCGTATTTATTTACACTTCTGAGTAAATAGAACTAATTCTGTTCTTTGGAAGTGGAATAGATGCATTTAGATGTACAGTATATGGAGGCCTCCAGAGGTTTTCTGTTTATATGGGGTATTCAATGAGGTAAAACAGAAAACTTTGTAATAACATGTATTATAATGGTTAAGGTCAGAGAAAACTTCACAGACAAACGGTCATTGACCTTCACAAGTAGAAGGATGGCTATAAAATAATCCATAAAAAGCCGAATCTACCACTTTGCACTGTAATGCCCATTAGTAATACATTTACTAATACATCCTCTCTGCCAGGAAGAGGATGAAAATGTATCTTGCTTACACAGGCTATGAAACCAGCCATTCAAAAATAGTTGGCTTTTCTTCTTGCATTTATCATTGTTTCTCTTAAGAATTTAGCACCACACGCTAACTCTTACAATCAGCATTCTTCACATAATAATTTACATTAAGTGAATATTAAAAACAGTATACCGTGTATACACAAAAATTACATAGTAACTACACATATCCCAACAAAAAAAAATTATTATGCATGGTACTAATAAACTTAATGTCTAATTTATATTACTGCAGTGAGTAATTACCCATTCACATTGAAATAGTAAAAATGTGTATACAGTATAATAATTTACAGTAGTGGCTAACTGATACTAATAATACTACTAATAATAGCAATAATCAAAGGAAAAATAGTTACAATACTGTTTATATTATTTTATATATTTTATGTTTTATATGATCCTTGAAGATTAAAACTTTTGATGTATGAAATCATATCCTCCAATATAAGACATCCCCCACATATTGTAAAATGACACCTTTCTCAGACCCCCTCTCTATTAGTATGTTTTTACCATTTAAAGTGTTAAAAAGTCATTATAATGTTATTATAATGTCTATGCATCCATGTATTAATTGCAATACACTCTTTTGGAGCAAGGTGTGTTGTTGAACAGTGCCAGAGAACAGAAAACAGGAAACATCTTGTACATGAACCCTGGAAGCGAAAAGCATTCATAGTTATCAGTCAAAGAATTTAAGTCCCTGTTGTCTCTTTTATAACAATAGCAGGACTCTATTTTCAGATTTTTAGACAAAACAAGAAAAAAAGTAATCTTCAGTTTGTGGGACAACAATGGACACCAGCCTTTTAAAGTCACTTTCAACTAAAAGACATGTGAGACCTGCTGTTCTCCCAGCCTATTTCCTTTTGCCAAAGGGAATCCACAGGAAAAGAAATAGAAGTGGCATTTAATTCAGAAATTACAACTTAGAGGCTGCAAGGGCACAGCTAGAAAGGAGTGAGAATGTAACCATACAGTAGCTGATGCTATCAAGTTAAGAGCTTAGGTTAGAAGAAAAAGGGGCCTCAGAAATTGAAGCTTTTTTGTCTTTGCAAGTAATGCCTATAGTACAATTTATTATACAAAATTAAAAAACTGGGGTCAGCTCAAGCCTTCATAATCAGTTGCCCATCTTCAAGGTCTTACCAGCCCTCTCAACTTCATTGATCTTGTCTGTGCTTATTGTTTAATGGTAACAGATGAAAACACTGCTAAGACTTTGAGAATAACATACTGTAATTAAACAAATATTGCTTTGTCTGAAATGATGTGTGGCATATACAAATCTAACTTCTAGCTCATATTGTATGCTTTCTTATAGCCAAAGATTCATAGAGAATTGATCAATAAAATCTACAGTATCTTGCAAGACAATGTGAAATTTAAATTATTTTATCATTATTATTTGTTATGATTCTACATTGCTTATCAATCATGTAATAGTTAAATGAATATAAATATAAATGTATATATTTATATATATAAATGAATCAGGCATAGTAATGAAATGTGTCTAAAGCTGTACAGCACCTAAATATTAAGAAAAACAAATAAAAAAGAAAATGTGAATTCAGAAGATCAGTTATATGTGTACCTGCAATACCTATCATACATATCATGTTTGTTTTGTTTATGAATACAGTTTTTGACCAAGTTGATTTTAAGTGTATATGCAAATGTGTCAGTAATACTAATTGAAACTTGTTTTTGACATGTTTAAACACTTACATTTTAATTCATCCACCCAGTGTGATTACTTACTTGCCATTTAGCGCACTGACTCCTACAGTACTTCTTGGAGTCGACATGCTTGCAACATAATTCCATTGTCGTGCCTGGGGATCCCACCTTTCAACCGTATTTAGATAACTCCATCCATCATGTCCTCCAACAGCATACATTGGTCCTTCAAGAACAGCAAGTCCTGAAAGGAGTAAACAGAATGGTTTAGTTTTGCAGTATAAAATACTGCAGGTGGTTATGCTTCTGTTAGTAAACCACTTAATTATTTTTTTTTCTCTTAGTTCAATATCTTTCAACAAAACTAAAAAATAAGGTTTCCACACCAGACTTTGATGCACTAAAATGTAATCATATCATACTTATCAATAAAAGCAAAATGTAGCAATAGTACTGCATGTTTGATAATGACAAGATTTGCCGTCTGTTGTGAAAAGGATGTATAAATCAGCGGAAGCTGATAAGGTGAAAGCATTTTGGAGGAAGGAGAGGTTTAGGACTGTGCTGGAAGGAATTAAATAATAATGGACTATTGGATACAGTATATGACAAAGATTTACGGATTACGACTTGGATACGGTGCGGATTCATGTGGACATACGGCTTATACAGCAATTGTCCCAAGCCACCCTCGCCCAGTTTCAGGCTTTAAAAGGACAGCAAGAAGCTATCCAAGCGCAACGGGAGGCAAATCAAATTCAAACCGAAACTAACGAACGAATTAAAAAATTAGTACTGGAAGAACTGCAAAGATTAGGGGAAGAATTCAGGCAGACCCCAGTAACAGGGAGAGACCCCGTTAGGCTGAACAAATTGGGCTACAAAAGATGACAGAACTTGATGATGTGGATGCTTATTTAACCACATTTGAAATAACTGCATCTCGAAATGCATGGCCCTAGGAGCAATGGGCCTGGAGAAGCCCAAAAGACCTATTATGATTGAAAAGAAGAAGATGCAGAGAATTATGAGACTGAAAAAGGAGATTTTGGCAAGACTAGGGGTAACCCTGGAAATACGGGCGGTCCGGTTTCACAATTGGAGATACCAAATGGACAAGCCTACGAGGTCTCAGATGTTTGACCTGGTACATCTGGCAAAGAAATGGCTCCAGCCAGAAGAATTAAACCCAGGACAGGTGGTAGAAAGGGTGGTGTTGGATCACTTTGTGAGGAGTCTGCCTGTTCATCTGAAAAGGAAAGTGAGTGATGGGGATCCCCAGACACTAGATCAGGCAGTGAACTTAGTGGACAGACACCATGCCACAGAGGTCTTGTTTAGGGAGAAAAAAGGGGGACTTTTGCAAAGAGGAGAGAAGAAGCCCCAAGAGTCTGGAAACCGAAATGAAGTATCGGCCAATAAAGTACAGTGATTATCGAGGACATACAGTTTAAGAAACCCCTTCGGGACAGATCAGACTCAAGGCCCCGACCATGGAAAGATACCCGACGATGTTTTAATTGTCAGGAAGAAAGGCATTTAGCCAACCATTGCCCTGGCCTGTCCAAACCCATGCAAGTAGACCCCAGTGATGAAGCCAAGTGTAACTGCCTTACAGCACGGGTCCCAACCTGCGAAGATCCCCATCTTACGAAAATCGAGATGGGGAGAACCCGTCAAGGTCTTGTTTGACTCCGGCAGTACTGTGACCCTGGTGACCCCTACAATACTTCCTGGAGAACTGAAGATCCGGGGAACAGAGGGGATACCCATTACTTGCATTCATGGGTATACCAAGGTCTATCCGACGGTAGAAATTAGCATCTCTAAGGAACGGATGACCTACCGTTCAACTGTCGGAGTGGTTGAGCAGGATCCTAACCCTGTGGTACTGGGACGAGACTGTCCCAACTTCCTCCAAATTTGGAACACTGTCCAAACAGCTAGGCGAAGACCAATTCCCTGACCAGAACGCTGAGGTGACGCCCCTAACGATGTCCCAGATGAGACGGACCCACAAGAAGGAGGAACTGGACTTGGAGATTAATTCGTAAATATGGATTTACCGGACTTGGAGCCACCAGAACATCGTGGTAGGTTTGGGACGGCCCAATTAGAAGATGGAAATTTGAAGCATGCGTGGAGACATGTCAGAAAAATCGATGGGAAGTGGCGTACTGATCCTAGTACATTGAGTTACCCATATTTCATGATAAAAAATAATCTACTTTATCAGGTGCAGCAGAAGGGACAGGAAGACGTGGAACAACTCCTGATTCCCCAGGCCTACCAGACGAAGCTCCTTATCTTGGCCCATAGCCACCTCCTGGGTGGACACCTGGGGGTGAAGAAGACGTCCGAGAGACTACTCTCTAGGTTCTTTTGGCCAGGGATCTATAAAGCCATTGAGAAGTACTGTCGGGAATGTCCGGAGTGTCAGAAAATGGCTCCACAACCTTATTATAGAAACCCTTTGATTCCCCTCCCAATTATTGAAACCCCCTTTGAACGGATTGGGATGGATTTGGTGGGGCCCCTGATCAGAACCACCAAAGGTCACCAGTGTATTTTAGTGATAGTGGACTATGCTACAAGGTACCCCGAAGCCATTCCGTTGAGAGCTGCCACTGCCAAAAATATAGCTAGGAAGCTGGTACAACTGTTTGCTCGGTTGGAATTCCTAAAGAGATCTTAACTGATCAAGGAACTCCTTTCATGTCTAAAATCATGCGAGACTTATCTAAGCTACTGGGAATACATCAGATCCGAACCTCGGTCTATCACCCTCAAACCGACGGGCTAGTCGAACGTTTTAGTAAGACCCTGAAAAGCATGCTGAGGAAGGCTATGCAAAAGGATGGGAAAAATTGGGATCAGCTGCTCCCGTAACTCATGTTCGCGGTATGAGAAGTGCTACAGGCCTCGACCGTTTTTTCCCCATTTGAATTGCTATACTCTCGGATACCACGGGGCCTATTAGAAGTTCCGACCCCAGAATGTAAATTCTTATGAGGTGGTGGAAAAGGTGGGACCGGTCAACTCTAAGGTCAAGCAACATGACAGAAGACGGCAGCATCAAATCTACCACATCAATTTATTGAAGAAATGGCATGGAACCGAAGTTCTGATCTCCCACTTCTCCCCTGACCCTTTGGAAGAAAAAACGGGAGCTGTAGCCATGGGAGACCTGGCTCCAGCTCAGAAACAGGAACTATAAGAATTCCTGTCCCAAAACAAAGATGTTTTTTCCCAGACACCTGGTTGGACCCATCTTATATGACATAAGATTACCATGGAACCAGGGAAGAAGGTAAGTCTACCTCCGTATCGAGTACCTGAAGCTAAAAGAAAATTGATTTAAGAAGATGTGGAAAAGATGCTAGAAATGGGCATAATAGAAGAATCCCATAGCGAGTCGGCGAGCCCGATAGTTCTGATCCCCAAGTCAGATGGAACTATTCGATTTTGTAACAATTTCAAATGGTTAAATGCGATCTCGCTGTTCGATGCATACCCCATGCCCCGTATTGATGAACTAATTGAGCGAATAGGCAACGTCCAATACATCAGTACCCTTGACCTTACAAAGGGATATTGGCAAGTGCCACTGGCCGAAGAAGACAAAGCCAAGACCACTTTTGCCACACCTGAGGGGCTATATCAGTATAGGGTCCTACCCTTTGGTTTGCATGGCGCTCCCGCAACATTCCAAAGATGAATGGACTGAATACTGAGGCCATATCCCATATTGTGATTTTGCAGCTGCCTACTTGGATGCCGTTGTGATCCATAGCACGACATGGGAAAAACATCTACAACACCTGGAAGCAGTGACTGGAGCTTTGCGAGCAGCAGGATTAACAGCCAACCCAAATAAATGTTCTCTGGGGGCTCTTGGTTATCTTGGTTATACGTTCGGGAGAGGATTGATCATGCCCCAAGAGCAGAAGGTGCGGTTAATTAAAAGCTGGTCCAAACCTGCTACAAAGAAGCAAATCCGAACATTTTTGGGACTTGCAAGTTATCGACGTTTCATTCCAGGGTTTACCTCCATTGCCGCACCTTTGCACGATTTAACAAAGACGAGTTCTCTGGAAAAAATAAAATGGACCAACTTGGAAGAGAGGGCCTTTCAAGACTTAAAAACATCTCTCTCTTCTCAACCCATCATACAGGTACCGGACTTTAATAAACCTTTCATGGTACAAACTGATGCTTCTGACACTGGAATTGGAGCCATACTCTCGCAAGAAATTGATGGACTGGAGCATCCTATTCTATATATTAGTCACAAGTTAAATCCTGCTGAAAAACACTATTCTACCATAGAGAAAGAATGTCTAGCAATAAAATGGGCCCTGGACTGTTTGAGGTATTATTTATTAGGAAGACGGTTTATATTGTACACAGATCATGCACCATTAACCTGGATGTTACAAAATATGGATAAAAATGATAGAATTACACGATGGGGACTTAGTCTTCAAAGGTTTCAATTCCAAACAGTATATAGACCCGGAAGGAAATAAGGGAATGTAGACGCCCTCTCCCGAATGCACTGTTTATTTTTTTCTAGACCGCCCGAGGACAGGGCTGATCTCAGGGGGAGGGAATGTAAGAGGACCAGGGGAAGGGTAAGTTATAACCGGTGTTTCTGTAACAAAACACTGGATATACTGGATATAGACCTAGGCAAGATGGCCGCCAAGGATATCCAGCTGACCTGCTGTTGGAAAAGATCTATGCGGCGAAACTATGAGACACAGATGAGCTGCATCAGGAAACAGAATATAAATGCCCCAGAAACAGTGAGCCAGCACGGAAGCCGATAAGGTGAAAGCATTTTGGAGGAAGGAGAGGTTTAGGATTGTGCTGGTAGGAATTAAAGAATAACGGACCATTGGATATGGTATATGACAAAGATTTATGGATTACGACTTGGATACGGTGCGGATTAGTGTGGACATACGGGCTCGGAAATTTGGATCGTTTAAGGATACTGGCAACGGACTACGGAACAGACTTGGGAAACATAGGGATGAAGGACAAAGAAGATCGGTGTAGTATTTCTTTCTTCCAATTCTCAGTAAATTCCCACTATATTGTCATTTTTGCAATTACAGATGCTTTTCAATTGAGCAAATAAAAATGCCAAAGTAATATTTGTTTAATCTATCCAAATATTGCAATTAAAATTTAGTGTTTTCAAAAGTAATGCACTTTCTAAATCACCTCTTAATATGTGCATTTTCTTTAAACAGGAAACAAAGGTTATCCTGAGCAGCATAAATTTTAAAAGGAAGGCAATAAAAACAATTTCCAAAACACATTACATTTTCTTCTCCAGTAAGAAATAAATTAGTATTAAAGGAACAATGTACTCTGTAAGGGCTTCAGAGAGTAGAAGGTGTAATTAAAGAGAATAATTTGTTCTACCACTGAATTTTCAGGAAACATTGCATACTAGTTTCTGCCAGTAAGCTTTCTATTGCTATACATCTCTGCTGGGAATCAGATTTGATCTGATCTGTACATTATCACTGTCACCATCATTTCATTTTATATAGCTCAAATTTATATGTGAGGCGAAACCCAAAGTCTTAGAATCCTTTTCAAACAAATTATGGAACTAAGAAAAAGGTAATTCTGCAAAAAAGATATAATTAATGTACAGTACTTCACGTCACGGTGGTTAATAGCAACTTTTGGTGTCTATATTAAGAACTAATAAGGAGTGTCTTCATCCTACCTAATCCATGTCTGTGAGTTGACATTGGTGGCATTGTGGTCCATACTTTTGTTATTGGGTTGTAACACTCCACCATGTTAGATGTCTTTAATCCATCTCTGCCACCAACAACATAGAGCTTATTATCAATTACTGACACCCCAAACTGCAGCCGCCTTCCATTCATGGTACCAACTTGGATCCAAGTGTTAGTACGTAGGTCATATTTTTCAATTGTTGTAGCACCTACAAAACAAAACAAGGAGAGCAAGTTAAACTTTGTAGTGGGTTATATAGTATTTTTTTCCAGTTACATGATTTTCATTTCAGAGAGGTCTTATTTTCACACAACATGTATAAAGACTATTATTGTATTTTTCAATAATTCAATTAATTTTAAAATGAATGAAAATTGTCACGGGTCCTAAGTGGCTCAAGCAGTAAAATTGCTGGCTTGAATCGCAGATTATACTTGGTGGCTTGAGTGTTCAAGCCTAGGGCATGGCATTAGTCAACAAGGACTCTGTTTTCTAGCAAACAGCAGTTCCTGCAGTTTGTTTTCAGTGAGAAAAAGGCCACTCCTCCAGGTAGTGCTACTTCTCCTGTCAGACACAGTGAGCTTGCAACATGTCAAATGATGAATGGCTGTGCAATTGAGCATGTGGGTGTAACACGCTTTCTCTCCCAGATGGTTATAGAAGGCTAGAACAGAGTGTCAAGATAATTAACAAAATATGGGTAGTGTCGGTAAATAATAATAATGATGATGATGATGATTAACATCATCATAATAATATAGTAGTTCAGGTGGGTAGCTGCGTCAGCATGCGTAGGCTGCAAAGGAACAAGTAATAGTTTTATTCCATGCTGACAAAAAGGAAGAAAGAAAACACATTTCAGCCGTGGAACCTTCTTCAGGTGTGAGTCTGAAGAAGCACCTGAGGCATCTTGTACCTCCAGCAACCTTATTTACTGTATCTCTTGCAGTAAATGCCCAGCCATCTACATTGGAGAAACAGGAAGGAGACTCGGAGACTGCATCAGGGAACATGTCAGGGCTGTGAAGATTAAAGATCTTTCTAAGGCCATTGTTTCTCATTTCACCTCTGACGGCCACGACCACTGTAATCTCTCAATCTGTGTTCTCAAAGACGGTTTTCCACACTCATACATCACAAAAAACTATCGAAAACCAAACTTTATCCTGCAGATAGGATCACACATTCCCCCTTCTCTTAATGACTTTTAAGAACGATTTTCTCCATTCATTGGTAGTTTCATTTCACACCTTTCTACACCTATTCGGACTTCACACCTCTTGATTGGCCTCTCTTTCTGTCCCCTGCTCCCGCCTCTCACTCCTCCTCCCTCCCAGCCTTTGTTCTCCCGCTACATTACCTTTGCCTACTGCCTTGTCTCTCTCACACCTGAAGAAGGCTCCATAGCCGAAATGTTGTGTTTTGTTTCTTCCTTTTTTTCAGCATGGAATAAAACTATTACTTGTTCCATCATAATAATATACTGTACATGCTATGCTAAGCTTTCTTTGGAATAATGATTTCCTGAAAAATGACAAAAATATATCACAACTTAGGAATTCACATTCATTTTCAAAGTTTAATAAAGAAATGAGATTTTAAGAAAATTATATAGCATAAGCTTAGTTTAAACTAACCAAAACACTGAGTTCTTAAGAAATGGTATTCAATGCTGAGAATAAGAAATTTCCCAAAAGATATAATCTGTTGAGCCTCCTGGTCATGTTTTTTCTCTGCCTGTAAAAAGCTCAAGCAGAAAAATTAAGAATCCTTGTCATCTTTTAAATTTCTTTCTTTGTAAACAGACTTCATTATCATTTTGTGGACCAGGAAATAGCTCTTTTTTAAAACATTGAGTTGGAATGTCACCAGCAGAAAGTTTTCTCGTTTTTAATTGCTTGGCAAGTGTCATGTTATAATTTTAGCCCTCTCCAGAACTTTTTTCCAGGACTATAATGCCTCATGTTTCATTTATGTCATGTACTCTTGCTCTGCTCACAGTGTGTGATACACACAGAATATTTTAAGTGGATGTGTGACTATGGAAGTGAAAATTATTTTGCCTGAAACTGATTAGGTCATCTGGATGATATTCAGAAATAGGACTAGTAAGAGTATCTCTGTGAGGTTTTCTTCCTATGAAAAATATTTACAGAGGACTTTGAACAGCATGGTTACATAAAAAAATTGAATCCAACAGACACTTATATGTAACAGATATATAAGTAAAGATTGATGTGGGTATGACAATCAATATTTTCTAAGTGCTCAGGTACAACTTGGATCACAAGAACCAATTCCACACTTTAACAATCCCATACTCTAATCATATGCTTTCAATAAGGTTTGGGTGCAAATCTTTATTTTGAGTTCTGTTTTTTCTTTTTATAAAACACGCTTTTTTGATTTCTGATTTTTTATTACACTGACATAACTTTGTAAGCTGTGTATTTTCACACTTTGAAGCACTATGTATTTGCCAGGTTGCAAATTAATACATAATATTATTAAAAGAAAATATATTCTATTGGTTCTAATACTCCTTTGCTTAACTCTGTAATACATTGCTTTACTCCATTTGCAGTTATCCATTTCATTCAAGCTATATTATGAAGCAATGTAAATAAATCAACTACTTGTAACTACCACAGAGTAGGTAATCTAATAATAAAATTGTGTACACTGCGATCTGCACAGTTTGTTTAAGTTTCTTCAAGCTGCATTTACCTTTAGTGGCATCCATGCCCCCCACTGCATATAGTGCTCCTACTGTGGACTTCCGAGGCTTCGTCCTTGGACTTTGTAGCATTGGTCTCCGTTCAGGTAACAGGTGGTATTTCATAGCCTCCATAAGCAGCTTCTGGCACTCCAGATCATCAGCAAACATCTTATTGTTTTCCAAGTCAGCTAGAAGCTAAGTTGAAAAGTAATAATAAGACTATACAGTACATCTACTAACATTGAACATTAACTTCATCTATATGTACTTTTGACATAGGTCACACTCCAATTTGTGATTTTTTTCAATCTGTGCAATTTCTACTCCAATACTTCTCAGGCTTCTTTAAGAAACTACCAATAGTTTTGGTATATTGAAATAAAACTTCATATTGATTGCTCTTGGATATAGATAGTTATATTTATTTGTGAATGTCCCATACATGGTACCATTATTTCTTAAAATACAAGTGCTATAATCAGGCTGTGATTCTTCAGTAAACTATAAATTAAGTGCTGAAAACAGAATGCAATGTTTAGAAAGGATAGTTTCATAACCAGTAGACTCAGGGCATTAGACAGAAGGAAGATACAAATATAAAGAAGATACAAATATCATGAACAGTGAATAACTGTATTATACAACTCTTAGATGAAAGTGTCATTCACAGACTAAATGCTCAGAACCTGTTGATAAAGCTAAGCATATTTAAAGATATTTCAAAAGTGTGTCATGGACTCATGAACAATTCTATTACACCATGTGTCAAGACCTTATATTTTTTAAGTCTGAGATATTTTTCTGTTTCCTATTTAAGGATGAAGAAGGGGAACATATGAGAACCCTGTGACACCAAAGTAGAATCCTTAAATACAGGACATGGTGAGCATGCTAAGAGTTAATTTAGTTCAGATTTGACAAACGTCCTCCATAACGTCTGAGGAGCTTCTAAGGGTTCAAGCACGGCAAATACGATTTCTAGATGAAGAACACAGCACCAATCTAAGGGTTGGCTGGCAAGCATTCAGTACTGAAGTCGGCTTGGTTACGATATTCAGGATTTTCTGTAGGAAGCTGTGGCAACTCATTGTGTCAGAAAGGTTGGCTGTCCAAGAGGAATTTAACTGGTAGTAGAAATAGAGATGATTGAAATGACTGTTTCTGGAGACTGATTAGAAGTAATGAATGAGTGGCAAGTTCAAAGTGTGATGTTTTGGAAAAGTGATACAAGATGGCACAGTGTAAAAAGAAAGAAATGCTGGAATATGACTTCTGAAAATATGTAGTAATGGCATCAGAGGTCCTGAATTTCTGAAAAGGGAGGGGAATCTACACGTAATACAATGAATTAGCTGGCCTCATTATTTTCCTCAGTAAAGATACTGTAAAAGTCTTTGGACAATGCATGGCAGGTGAAAGTTTGGAGGTTTTTGGAAGACAGAGGGTGGTCATTATAGATAGTGATGCCAATCCACTGCTCGGTATGAGCCACAGCATTCAATGAAGGTGCAGTTGATGTCAAGGATAGCAGAGATGCAAAGATGAAGCAAGACGTCAAGAAGATAAGAGACAACGGACCCCAAGGTATGATGTGCATATTGTACTTTAAGTAGACGCAAATGCAGCCAATGCTTGTGACAAGGTGGCACAAAAAAAAAACGAGGATGATCCGTAGAGACCCAAAGGAGGAAAAATGTAAAAGTATTCTCTGTGCTGGATGAATTCTGAGGAATCTGAAAATTCTGTTAAGGTTGACAAATTTTAAGTGTGGAGAACATCAAAGTGAGAAAGTCATCCAAGAAAAAAGAAGAAGATTGAGAGGAACTGGTAAATAAAGCAAGATCCAGCTGAGGACGTCTAAAAGCTGTAAGTGTCAAAAAGCTTTGGGCTGGAGTGGCAGTTGAAAGAGAGTTGGATTGTAAAATATCCATCTGGTACCTGGGGTTTATGATCAATAAACAGTTATTGCTAATGCTTTTAAATTTATGCCTGTCATGAGCAACATCCTGCTGCTTCGTGTTAATGATTGTGTAGAACAGAGGAAAATAATAACTGCTGTACCGCAGTATTATTCCACATGGTGAATTCAGCTTTTCACTGCTCAAAGACGATTGATAAGTGTCACTTGTGGTGCATTAGGTGCTAGTGAAACAGTAGCTTAATTTAATGTTGTACAACTTTTTTAAATGCATTTAAAATAGAATACTAATATTAATAACTGAAGTAACCAAAGGGAAATGTTGTCAGCTGAAAAAGATAACAGAAGTTTAATAATGTTTCTTAATATCATTAAGGGTATTATAGTATATTTATACAGACGGTAGTGGTAGCTGAAAATAAAAAAATACTTTTTCCATGAACACTTGCTGTTGTTATTTTTGGAAACATTTTACATGCTCGTTTCCTATTACAACTTGCAAGACTCAAATTAAAAACAATAAACAACATACACTTGAACAAAAATGTTATGTACAGTAAGTAATTATAAAATACCAAGGATTTGCATGACTTGCAGGACCCAAGGAAGCAGAACCTTGGATTTCTTGGAGAAGTAGTTTTTGTTGGCAGATTCCCAATAAGTTTGAAACATTTCAAAAACCTTGTTATTTTGGAATTATCTGTTTTTTCTCTTATCAACTAATTTGGAATAATTTCCTTAATATATTTTTTTTCCTCAAAAGTGTTTTAAACATTTTAGAATTTAATTATATTAATTTGAAATAAATTATTACTGTTGTTAACTATCTTACTCTCATATACGTTAAAAATTACCAAAGTTGATATGAAGTTAACAAGGTTAACACATCTCAAATACATAGGATTTTAATTACAGCTATTTTGTTTCTGTTACACAAAAAACAGGAATATTATCTAATTGGCTTAAATTGAAATTCAATTGAAAATTAAATTAAAAAAGGAAACTTGTATTAGTACCAAAGTGTTTTTTTGTGATTGTATTTTCATATTTAATAATTTTTTAAGCAATTAAATATGATTAAACATCTAATCATAATTTCTCTTTAGCTAAAAAACAAACCTAAAATAAAAATGTGTCAAAGGAATATTCATGATATTGGAGGAGAGAGTACTTCCCTGCTGACAAAGTCATTCAAATCACTATTCAAAACATATTTAAGTCTTATTTTGTTTTTGTGTGTTGATTTGCTTTTAAAAACAATACGTCTTTAAAGTCACAATGTGTGATATATTTTCAAACTTTGAAATCTTAAATTTATGTTTTATATTTTTACCATTTCTAATAATTCTCCATACAAACTGTAATTCAAAAAACAATAATTTTGTTAATGTTCCACCATATTTTGACATTAAGTATACAGAAGCTGTATGTTGTTGGAGCTGTGTGTAATTGTAATTATATTTAATGAAATTATTTTCTGTATTAGATTATGCATACATTATTATTAGCAGAGGAAAGCACTAATGGGTTAATAAACATTTAATGTTATATGTTATATCTTACTCTACAGGGGTGAGTTTCCCGAAAACGATGAATCTTAGAGACTAATGCGCAACTTTACGATGTACGTACGTAACGTATGAACTACTTTTTCATGGGTTTCCCAAAACCCCTCTTAATCGATCATTTAACGAGCGACTATAAAGTACCTCTTTGTTAACCCCTCCCCTGAAGTCGCTTAGCAAAAAGCATCACAAGTCGATTGAAAAACAATCGATTGACAATACTTTCATTATATGGTGTCGGTTTTGGTCCTTCAGTGGGATGAAATAAAGTTGTGAAAAGGAATATGAAGCAAACATGACATCATAATTTAACAACAATTTAAGCGAAAGCGTATAGATAGGCACAAAATGGGAACCTTATTGTTTCTAAGAGAAAAGAAAATAAATGACCGTAAAAGAAAATCAAGTTTAACTGCGTGGACAGTGTATGCGTCCTGCACGACGTCTTTGATTTAAAGCCATAGTTTTTGGTGCGCTGCCATTGTTAAGAATCACAGTGTTTCATGAGGAAAAAAATGTTGTTATTTTTTAACATAAAACGGTATTCGAACTTTAAATATTGTATCGACCACAGGTTTTGGTACGGAATGGAGCAGGCATGGGACTCAGGGAATGGGGCTGAACAACACATTTATTAACTCGAATCGGGAAAGGTACACACACAGGGACAGGGGTTACAGCGCTGCACCTACACTAACACACCTACACACACACGAAAGGAAGAGACTGTATCCCAGACTCCGTCCCACTATATAGTCCGGTAGTCCCCAGGTGCTGTTCTGAGCCAGCCCTGCGTGGCGCTACATTGTAATACATGTTACATGTTTCACGTTCTTTATGGAATTTAAATACCATTTAAACCCCACCCCAAAAGTACTAAAAGAGGGAGTATTATTAAAACATTTGACTTATGAATATGAAATTTACCCAAGATGACTAATAAATTAATTACTGTAGAAATAAATGTTATTTTTTCGAATTTCCTCTTACATAGTACAACAAAATATCAAAATCCTTAATATAAACTTAGTATTCTATATTTCCAGAGAATTCCCATGACGTGAATTGAATGTGCTCTATCTGGCGATCTCTGTCATTAAGGTTGGCACAAGAGGTAGCCAGTTTAAGAAGCACTTAGTAATTAACGAGTGGGTCGGGGAGCACGTAGATTACGAAGGATTTAACGTTCTACTTTAGTCACGATAGGTTTTGGGAAACACTCGTAAATTAACGATCTATCTTAAGAGCGAGTTTACGATGTTCTTAGCGCTACGATGCTTTCGGGAAACTTAAATTATTAAAAAATAGTATAATGTAGTGCTGTTCAGGGTAGCGCTGACCTACTACAGTATACTGACTGACACCTCATGCATTAAAGATGACTGCATATGTACCAACCACTCCTGTATATTTGTGGCAGTCTTTACAATATGGAAATTATGATTATTTATTTTAATTATTGATTAATTCTGTCCATTTAAGTATTTCTCTATTCTCATAACCCCCTTAATGTAAAATATTTTATTTTATGGATCCTTGGATAAAGAGGAGCTTGATTAAATATGGTTTATACCTGTGGAGGGAGAAGTGGTAGCCGGATGTAAGACAGCAGAAGTCCAAGGTCCTGCTGTCGGCTTTGTACATCATGTCTTACCCACATCATTAGAGCCTGGAATATTGTTTCTTCATCTGGTACATTAATGTCATCACTGGCCAGGAGCTTCACAATTTCAGCACTTGGTAGCAGGAGGAACTCCTGGTTTTGTATAACCTCTAGAAAGTGTTCCTAGTATACAAAGCATGGAAAAGGGGAAATAAACACTAATTAAGACATTTGTTTGACAAATGTATTCAATTAGCTATAAAAATAATTTAAATACTCCAGCATGAATACTATTAATATTCAGGTTAAAAGGCAATTGAAACACTGAAATACTGTAGACCTTTTATTGTTATTGAATACTGTAGATAGTTAAACTGTCAAATAGGTCAACTTTACAAGGGAATATACACCATTCTTAAAAAATAAATATATTACATATAAATAGACAAACATGAATCACTTGCATTCTCTTCATGTGTGGTGTTTGACTGCAAATCCTTAATGATTTTAGGGCATAGCATTTCAACAGTCCTGATACTAGGATGGTTTATATATAAAGCAGGTATCACCTTCCCTAAGGAAGACAGCCCTTTCCTTTACAGCACTGTTTTAATATAGAGAAACCCAGTAAATAAAAGCTCTTCTCCATTCAGAGTATGCTTATCCTTATCGAAAAACAGTCAATATACATCTGTTCATATTTTGCAAGTGCAATACATGCAAACGTACAAATATTTTGTTCACTGTCATTCTTAGGATCCTAGCATTCTTAGATCTTGAAAATATCAAAATAAGCAAGTAGAATCTGATACCTCAACACACCTATGCAGTATCTTGTATCCTCATAGAAAAGGGACAATTTAGGATATTTGATTACAATTAAATGGGCCATGTTTGAGAAAAGGGACAAAATCAAACATCTGAAAGCAATAACACTGGGCAAAACCCCACAAAAACTTGTGAAGAACATGAAAAGTCCTCTAAAACAGATGCTTGAGACCATAATCAAAACAATAACTTGAACGCTACAGTATAAGGCTAAGCCTGGCTATCATGATCAATGGTCATCCATTGGCGCCTATCTGTCTAGGGAGTGCCAGTTGGACATCTGGACTGGATTACTAAGTGTCAGGACTAAGTGACTCATATCTCACCTTGATCAACCAATCAGGGACTGGTAGGGCCGAGTAACCCACGTGGGACTCTGATGCCCATGGAACTTTCAGCCAATCAATGAGCTGAAGTTCCTCCAGGTAAAAACAGGCAACACAGAAAGCCTGAGAGATTCAGATTCAACAAGATTCAGAAGGGATTCAGTAAGATTCAGTAAGATTCTGGAGAGGATTCTGTGGACTGTTCTAAAGGGAATTCAAAGGAGAATTCCAGGGCAGGACGGTCCAGGAGCAGAAGGCTCCCAAGGGCAGGACATTCTCGCAGCGCGCCTCCTGACCATCCTGAGACTCAGCCCGGACAACCACGGAAAGGCCAGTGTGTCCGAGTGCCAGAACTTTCCTTTGTTCTAAGATTCTAGAGTGGAGGTTGCCAGAGAGTAACCAGCAGCAGGCCTCGTGAACAGGTCGGAACTGTGGACAGCTGAATCACTATTCAGAACTAGCTCTTCATCAGGAACGAACCGGTCCTCTTCCTGACTTGCTGGGACCCACAGTCATCTTTTCTCCTGTGCACAAACTTTGCTAGTTAAAGCCGCACAGCACAGCCTGGCACGGAGCCAGAGAGCGCGGATTGGACCGCAACAAACCTGCAACTGTTTCTTTGTGTCCGCAGGAGATCTGAATCCCCAAAGATTGGATGAGTATTCAACTTCAATGCATTATAGCTCGAGAATTCAATTGTTATCCCAACCGTTGATATCAATTTAATTCCTAAGAGTTATGTACTTGTTTTGACTATCTAATGTAGAAGTTGTAACCAAGTTCACTTTACGAAACGGTCTTAATGAATGATATACTGAACGTATGTCCTCTTGATATATGTAACTCTTTGTAACTGACCGAATATACCTTTTGTATTCTGATAACCCTCTCGATAAGATCTGTTAGGTTAAATGCATATTCTATGTATTAATAAATGTATCCTTGTGCATTAGTACCTGTGTGTGTGCGTTGTTTGAGTTATGTCGCATGGTTGGATTCTAAAGCCATCAAAAGAATCAACTTTGTGATTTACTGCTACAATTAATAATTGTCTCAACCCTACAGAACTGGTGCCTTCAGAGAGCCACTACATTTAATTTTGCTATGGCAATGATTACATATTTGGCGTCCCTGAGCCGGTTTTCCCTACAGCACCATTGCTAACCACACTACTTTGCAACCCAGTAAAATATATAAACATCTAAAACATTTTAGGTCTTGTTAAATTATGTCCAGTTTCTATATTAAAATTAAGCTGTCACCTATTTAAGGAATCATAATAATGTTAACATCATAATGTTCACATTCGAAGACACATAATTTACTTTTAAGAATTGCTTTTCTGTGAACACAATTACAAATGGCATTGACATTAACTTGACAGGGAGACTTTACCTTGTTCCCTTCACACAAGCTTGTTCCCTGATTTATTGCAGAGAATAGATCTCTGTGATGCATGTAATGCATTCAAGATTAAATGTTGGAACACACTACCCTACAACTAAGAAATGCACAGAAGTTATTGATCACTTCAGCCTGTACCAAATTACTGTGCCTATAAGAAATCTATCATGATCTCACCAAGGAACATTTAATGAATTAGCTTCCATATATTGATCTATTCGACTTTCACTTAAGCAATATGTAATCCCAAAAAAAACAGTATTGTACAACATCATTATGTATTAATTAAGACAATTTAGCATTTTGTTAAGAGTAGTTAATTGAAGTTTGTCCATTTGCCTATTTTTTCACTGGTTATGTTTTCTAAACATATTAAAGGTGGAGTGCAACATAATTTTTCTAAGGATAATAAAACACATTATAAAACTGAGTTTAACAGTGTATGAATTGAAAAGTATTTTTTCAGTTTAGAATGAACTACCACAGTATCAGCTTTCTGCATCAAATGGATTCATGGATTTATATATTGAAATGAAAAGTCTTTTTCAAAAACAAAAAAGTCAATTTATTTGCAGCAATCTCACTAGTGTCATATCTAAAATTAGTGATAGCAAAGGAAAATGGAATGGTACAGATGCAAAAATGCATAGAAAGGCTTGAATATAAATTGTGGATATTTGACCAAACCAAGTAGCTCCCTTACTGGCCTTGAGAATAAACATTGTAGCCTGACCATTGTAGCCTGACCCAAAGACTCATAATTCTAATTTTCAGACTTTCATTTCCATTTGGAAAAACATATACTTTTTTTTTCCTGAGAACAGAGCAAACGAGGACAGAACTAAGAATGTAAAGTTTGGTACTTAAAGGCTTGCTGTGTGCTCTTGTAACAGCATTATTTATATTGCATGTTAAATTAAATTTCTAATAACATTAATTGCATTTAATTATTCTTTAAGACTTTTTTAAAACTTCTCATATTCATTGAGGATCTGTAACTGATTTCATTATATTTGTTTTATTTAGTCTTCTATACAATATATAAAGATTCATATTAAAGATTCATATAAAGAATATTATATGTACTAAATCCTAGACAAATAGTGTGAATTAAATTCATTTATGTTACTCCAGATGTAATTTCATCATACTAATCTTGCTTTTTAAGACTAATATTGTTAATTACAAATAGCAAGATTTGCTATTTGTCGAAAAAACAACTATCCATTCCTGAAGAAAGAGGAACAGGATGCCACAATAGCTTTGTTTCTAAAGAAAAAAATAGAAGGGTTTCAAAATAGCATGTTTAATGTAAATACAGCCAATAATGGGACAGGAAATCTTTAAGCCTCTGTGTGCAAGATTGAAATCATTGAACAGGAGGTTCTCCTGCGTGCGTCCTGTGATTGGATCAACCTTTGCACTCTGGAGGACCACTGTTATCCAATGTAAACAGTCTGTCCAGATGTTCTTTAAGAGATAACAGTGAGCCTTACAGCGTTTTTCCTCATTTCTACTGTGTCATCTTTTGAATTTGCACTTGCTTTTAGTCTGAAACCTTTTCCACTATTTCCTTTCTGTTCTGTCTATATATAACAAAGATAGACATGTGACCTCTTCTTTTTTTCAAAAAAAGTGTTTTTTGCCTCTGAGTTTAGGACAATCTATTGAGCCAGAGAATGTATCTGGATAAAAAATTTGATCTTAAGTTTAAATGTTGAGTCAGTGTGCTCCACATTCACCGTGTTTTTTTGCTCTTACAATATAAAATATCATCTTTAATCAAATTAAATTTTCAGTTTTACATTATTTGTTTTTTTAAAACTGCACAGAATTGAAAAGACAAAAAGATGAGCATGTTGTTATTAACTGTAGACAAGTAAAAACATATTTAGCATTATTTTCTAAGTTGACCTATGAATTGTGATTATGATGAGTAACTTAAACTATGACCTCATAAAAGCTGGAAGTTTTGGTTTCCATACAAACAATCAGGAATTAACTGTGCAAGGATTGATTCAAAACTACATAAACAGTGTTGTATTTCTTTATAGCCAGGCAGTATGACGTCATCTGTAGAGGTGAAAGAACCGCCATTATGCATGGTCATGTCTCAGAAAAGTTATCTTAGAACTTTCCCAGTCTGGTTGTTTTCCTGAAAATGTGGAGGAGAATCCCTCATAAACTTCAATATGAAGTAGAAAATCATTTTTTTCCATCTCTTATAGTTTTTGTATTTACTATTTTCAGACACATTTAATGTGAAGTCTTATATATCCACTATAACACTTCATAGAAACGTACTGTAGTATGAGGCTGATATAACATTCATATCAAGTTTGTAATTCAGTGAAATTTTAATAACAATTAAATGAGCCAAAGGATATTAAGGAATAGTATACTTAATAATTTGGCATAGATAAACACTTCCACAACCCTCCTCATTTAAAAGGACTGAACCAGGGAGGATGCTGCAACAGTGAAGCTGGGATGGAGGGAGGGGTGCTAGAAAAGATGAACACAGAGTTGTGGGGAGCCAGGTAGTATTTATATACTGTATATATTTATATATACAGTATGGAAGTGTGACATTAGAATTTGACCTCCTCCCAATTTTCTGTTAATACCACGATTTCAGTAGTTCAGTAGTAAAATGAAAATAACTTACAGTATGCATATAAAGAGATAGCATACTTAATACTTTGCTTTTAACCTGGCTGACAAAATGATAGCATTTTCCAAAGGTCAAACCTGTCACAACCCCCCAGAAAGATGCCCAAAAGATAGACACAGATTTTGAAGATGGAGTGAGTGCAGACTGCATACCAGCTACCAGGGGGAGAGGCACCTTCAAGGACAGTAAAAAGGAGCACTGGGAAAATGGAAGAGACGAAACAAACGTAGGCTGGACAGAAGGCGTGGTGGGATGGATTTTTGACCCGAATCGGGCAGAAAAAAGAGGGTGGATGGAGAGAGTCGAGTGAGTGGAATTAAGAGAAGAGAGAACAGGGGAAAGGGAGATGGAGCAGCCATGGTTCTCTCTTTGCATAGCTCATGCAGGATGGGAAATTCTTTGGTTTTCATCATATATTTTTAGGTGTGTATTTCCAATTCCAGAAACAGAAACAATTATAATAAAACATTAGTATTGGTGCTACTAAACCCTTACTGATAATGTTATTAGTACTGTTACTGCTCCTCTTACCATTGTGTAACTGTGAGCAACATTTAGGAGGTCCATGCACCCCTGTGCATCAGCAAATGACCGGATTCCTAAACAGTTGGAGGGGTGTAGTTGTTTCATGAGAAAGTTGCAGCACACTTCAATCACTTGAGAAAGCTGAAGAAGGCAGGCAGCAGCCAGGAGACTTTCAATTGTCTCTTCTTTTAGCTCCAGAACACCTACATATTCAAACCAAAGAAAAAAATATCATTTTCCGTGCTTGTCATCTGTAGAAATTCTGTTCAATCAAATGATAAATGTGCAAGTTCACCACAAGACATACCTGTTTTAGGCAAATATGCCATCTAAAGCTATACTATATCAGAACATACAGTAATAGAGTGTAATGTATAGTAACTGCATACAGTATTAGTTTATCTATAAAATACATATTAATTTACCATTATAGTGATTCTATTACTCAGGATACAAAGCTATTTAAAAAGTAAAATAAATTATAGAAAATAATGGCAATAATGACATGGTAGAAAATATATAATTATTATTGTAGAAAGGTCAAAGCCAAGATATGGATACTGTATGTAAAATGGAACCCACTCTAAATCAATACAGTATGTCATTCAAATGGATTTTTACTATACTTGAGCAAATAAAACAAGTAAAACATTTTGAATTAATCAAATTGTTTATGATAAAAATGTGTGGATACTATTCACGCTGATGTACTGAAACGTTAATGGCGAAAACAGGCCTATCTCAACTTCACATGTTCCTGCACTGAGTTACAGCATCTAAATTCATTTAGAAAGATTGTGAGATCCCAGCATCTTTTGGTAATTTAAGTGATCTGTTTCTGGCACTGATAGTTCTTTGTACAGTACAAAGCATTTTAGTACCTGCATTAAAAGAACAAAATGGCACAATCTGTGAAAATTTAAGATGATCTGCCATTTCTTGTTTTTCAACCAGTTCATACATATGCATACATTACCTTGGATTTCCATTGCAGATTAATCTTTTATGAAGGAACTAATCCCTTTCTTCTACAGTAGTTCATCTCTACCATTTCCAATGGTTCACCAGTAACAGAAACTTAGTTTTCTCTCCCTTTGTATGGATTGCATTCACATTTGTAGTTCTCCTGAAGTTGTAGCTCCCATCTTTGTGAGAGTTCATGTATCCTTGCTATTACATACAGTAAGCTAAGTATGAATAGCATCCATAAGATTTTCTTAGGTACAACTGGGAAAATGCCATCAGGCTCTGACAATTAATTTGTATTAATCTGCCATAGCCTTTGTATAACTGCCATCATTAATCTTATTTGATCTAATCTTATCTTATTTCATTGTTTTTTGTCACGAGAAATTGTATTTATTGTTTAGACTTGCTTTATTGTGCCGTATCCTTATAGCACCCTTTTATACTGGGCTAAACATACTCACAATCAGATGCAACAAATTTAATAGGGCACACAACAATTATTTTAATTTTTATTCTTCAAGTAAAAATACATTTTAAAATAAATTCAGCTGTAATAAAGAAAATTAATAATATTAAAATTAATATTAATATTTGTCCAGTAATAAATAATATTTTCTACAAGAACTAATAAATTATTTGTGAGGCATAGGAAGCTGTTTTTTCATTAAGCCTCAGTCTCTTACTTGCATTTGTTAAATAGCAATATGGATAAATCAGTCCTTCTTCTCCACTAGTGAAATATATGACTGTTTATGGATCTAACACTTTTAAGCTTTGGACCAGAATTTCCAAACCAATACACCAATTTGACAGTATTGTAACAGTGCTCTAGGAAATGCCACCTCTGGTATAAGACAATTAACTAAGGCTCTGGCTGCTTGGTATTAGAGAGAAAATATCACTGTTCCTAAGTGTAGGGGTGTTAAATAAGTGTCTTGTTTCAGTCCTGCTTTGGATTGCACAAGCTGGTCTCTCCCTTCTCGAGTGAATTCACTGTGCAGTGGGGCTGCGGTCACATGGTGGCTGCTGTGTGCCACCCAGTTGCATTTTAGTAATGGGTCAGATAGGCTTCCTCCAATATCTTCTCACCCAAGTCCTTTGGGATCAATTGGGTGAGAAGTGCTATAGAAAGCAAGCATTTATTAATGGTAAAATGTTGATTTATGATATTGCTTAGATTAACTGTATAAAGGGAATGAGCATTTTATGAGCACTCACCAGTGTATGCGTAATGAACCAAAGATTTCAGAGCATCAGGATCCACACCTTCCATCTTAATCTCCTCCTGTTTAGCTTCTCGAACATCATTGGTGAACATGGCAGCAAAGTAATCGGACACTGCACTCAGAACAAGTCTGTAAATTTACAAGGGAATAAAAACTATAGTCTGAAAATTATACTGTAACTATTTTAATGTGCTTTTAAACTGTACAGTCAATTAAAATTGGTTGCTGGGCAGTTTTTTCTATGTTGTGCTTTTTTTTTGCTTTTCTCCATATTTTGCAGACTGTGTCTATGCTTGTCTTGTTTTTTTGTGTATAGTAACAGAGTTGATGTGGGGAAGGAGTGTAGGGTGTGTGGTCTGCTCTTTTTAAGATGGGTTCTAGTACAATATCTGTGATCTCTACACTTTGCACAAATGTACAGTACTGCAATAAAAGCAAAAGCATCCATTTTTTTTAAGTGCTCACAAAATCCTTGAGTCAAATCATTCCTAATATATAAAGTGTTATATTTTCCTGAACTAAAATTGGTTATAGAAGCACAGAAGCTATACAACCCACTGAAGCTATGCAGGTGTGAGGCTGGCCAGTACCTAGATGGGATACAGATGCAGCCATTCAAAGTGCGCGGTACAGACACGTACCGGAGGAAATTGGCTACGGTGTCGCGCATTTTGACGCAAGATGAAGCGCGGTACTGCGGTACGTGATTGGTTGACCGACAGGGGCACTCGTGGTCCGTTGGTCTGTCGTAGAAAGATTTACTGTAAACGTCTTTACTGTGCCCGTTGTAGTATTGAATATTCATGTGGAATTTTACCACTGAAGGGAAATCTTAGTAGCTGAGCATAAAAAGAATAGGAGCATACTGTAACGCGTGT